GGTGGGAGGGGAGGCAGAGACCTGGGAAGACCAGAGACCAGGAGACGGGAGTGCATGCCACGAAGGCGTGGCAGGGAGGAGTGACCAAGGCGGTGGTGCCACAGGAGAGTCTGGTGCGACAGGGCGTGACACGAGCAAGGGCTACAAGCTGACCTGACGCAGACGCAGACGCATCTACCTGAGGTAGCTCAGTAGTCAGTGTGTACAGGCTGGACCCAGGCCGACGGGTGAACGTGGCCAGGTGACGGCCCGTCCGTGCACATGTGCAGATCGCCACACGCTGTCCTCCAAGGGTAAAGGTATCAACTCAAGCATCATGAAGGACAACGTTATTCACCAAGTTCATGGAGAACGAGGGGAGGTGAAGACCTGACAGCGAGCCAGACGGAACCGCCAGATACGGGAGAACAGTGGAGGAACGTGCAAGAACCGGTCCCTCAGAGGGGTCAACCAGAGAGACTGCAACCGGTGCTGCGAGTGGTGTGACTGTGGTGCTGTCGTGAAAGAAGCAGCGGTAAGCACCTGAGTCAAGCGTGAAGGTGTGTAAGGCCGCAGCAGGCGCAGTACCAGAGAGAGCAGACTCACCAGCACCTAGAGTAGACTCACCAGCACCTAGAGGAGACTCACCAGCACCTAGAGCAGCAGCCTCTATACCAGGGTCTAGCGGCACACACAGGTAACAGTCACCCTGAGTACTAATAGTCAAAGCATGTACGGCAATGAGGATAGCGTCATAGTCTAGCAAAGATATCCACTCCCTGCCTAAGCAGCTCTAGCCAGCGGGGGAGCTCAGCCGCGTTGCCAAACTCTGCACGCCAGGTGTCGCTAAAACAGGAGAAGCAGCGGGACTGTGTGTGACCAATTGTCCCGCAAGTCTGACCAGCCCGATCACCTCTGCGAATGACACACGGTGGCGGCGCGCGGCGAGCGGTGCGCGGGCAGGGCAGTGCGCGCGGCGGCGAGCGACGTGCGGCGGCGAGCGGCGCGCGGGCAGGGCTGCGGCGCTGCGGCGAGCGGCGCGCAGGCAGGGCAGGCGGCGCGGCGACGAGCGGCGCGCGGGCAGGGCAGGGCGCGCGGCGGCGAGCGGCGTGCGGGCCGGGCAGGGCGCGCGACGCCGAGCAGCGCGCGGGCAGGGCGACGCGGCGCGCAGGCAGGGCAGGCGGCGCAGTAGCGAGCCGCGCGCAGGCAGGGCAGGCGGCGCGGCAGCGAGCGGCGCGCGGGCAGGGCACGGCGCTCGGCAGCTTGCGGCGCGCGGGCCGGGCAGGGCGACGCGGCGTGCAGGCAGGGCAGGCGGCGCGGCGGCGAGCGGCGCTCGGGCAGGACAGGGCGCGCGGCGGCAACCGGCGCGCGGGCAAGGCGACACGGCAGCGAGCTGCGCGCGGGCAGGGCAGGGCAGGGCGTGCGTGAGCAGCGCGACGCAGCACAGGGCGTGCGTGGGGCACCGCGACGCAAGGCAGGGTAGGGCAGCGCGGTGCTAACAGGGCGGCGCGATGTGTGGGGTAGCGCGATTCGGTGGGTCCTAAAAAAAAAACGGTCATAGGAGAGGACCTGCTCTGAAACCATGTCAAAAACGTGAGAATGGATGAACTAGCAGCAGGATGGGTAGAAGTACTAACCCTAACATTGGGTTGTATCCCATATGGGCTACCCCACTACAGCCTATACAACATGCACCATATGAGTTTGACACGGTCGTGGTTATGAATACCAAGTGTTACGAGTGCAATTGAGTAAGCGAATGAAGATTGCACTTTCGAAGCAAAACAGTCCATTGTGCGAAGGAATGAGCGTAGCAAGCTAGCGTGGTAACGGTAACGAGCGAATTGTGGGGTGCGCGACGGGCTTGGCGCCGAGGTTGTGAATTGCCAAGGCGGAGGACCGGAGTGCGAGTTACCAACCGAGCTGTGAGGTTGGGTCGCGGTGTGAACAGTGGCAGGAACAGTAGTCGAGGCGAGTGTCGCAAGTGGTAACGGTTTACTGCTGGGTACTTTTGGCGGGAACAGTCATGTACGCGGTAAGGGCTGCTTGTCCTGACACTTGTAGGGTAACCAATTTCGTCTTGCATATGCTTTGACGACAGATTCTAACGAATTACGTAACCCTACAATAATCCGGATGGGCAGCAGCCCGGACGGTCAAATTGGAAAAATGTAACACGCCCTAAGTAGGGGCGTGAACGTGAAGTAAGGACAATGAATATTCCTTACATGAAGTAAGGAAAAATTGTTTCCTTAACTTGAACCTTATCTTACGCGAAGTGTTCTAATCTACGTGTGACTGACGCCTTAGTGAGGTCGTGAATAATTGTCGGTGACAGTGACGGTCGGTGAACAAACGTCTGGTTACATCAAGCTTCTTCGTGCAGTCACAGATGGTGGTTGTGTTGCCTGCGCTGGTTGGGTGAGCGACGCGTGGTTTGGTCTGGCTCGAGGCACGGAACACGGGGGCAAATCTCCCGCAAACCAGAACAGACACCCGAATCCACAACGCGGGTGCGTGCCAAAGCTGAAATCAGGGCCCGGAGAATGGTTGTGCAGTACAGAGCGGCAGGCTCGGAAGGTGGTTTGGTTTCGGAGGGCATCTGTTCTGTCAACGGAGTTCCCAAGGCAGGCACAAGGTAGAAGGCAGACACATGAAATGCTAGGCATGCTTCGGGAAGGCATGAATTGCACGAGACGAGACATACCTGCAAGCCATAGCTGAATCACAAGAGGCATGTATGTTAGGCTTAGCAGGAGATGCACGCGCAATTATTGATAACTGCAGCACGCATAAGTAGCTGAGCCTTGACATTAGCTATCGGTGCTGACTGCGGCGTTCACATAAGGGACGGATAGTGGTGGAGACGAGCGTCGTCGGCTGGCAGCCTATGGACAGACACAACCCACATACTCTTAGCTTAGCTCCAGTAGTCACAACCCTAACTTGTCTAATCCGTCTGCCGACTCGCGCTTCGTAACTTGCCGACTTCTGTGTCATTAGGTCTCGTCCCGTGCCGTCGTTCGTCTAGAGGTGTTTCCATGGCTCTGCTCGATAATAATCTCCGTACTCTTAGCCGGGAATTAGTAGCTTCCACAGCTTCATTACCTTCCTGTAAATTATTGAAACGCACCAGACAACAGCATAACGGAAGCAGAAGACCGTTGTCGGTAGAAACGCACGACTTGACAAACCGACGCTACGCCACGCCAAGGACGCGACCGTGCCATCTCTGGAAGCTTCTTACCGCTGCTAGCTCGCAAGCGCTTCTCTCTGTCGTGGTGCTCTTGCTGTGCTCGTTTCGACCCGTCGACTCTCAGGCCTCTAACGACCGTACGTGAGACCAATAATGCGGTGGAATCAAACAGATGGTCATTGACAACAGTGGCTAGAAGACGAGGGACAGTATGACTGGCAGCACGAGCTATGTCAGACTCAAGGTCAGGAACGTCAGGAAGAGAGGGTGCAGGAGGAGACGGCAGGGGAACTCGCAGTGGAACAGAGGAAGGACGAAGCGCCGACTAAAAAACCATAACGTGCTGTGCGCGTTTCGACCCGTCGAATTAGAGACCTCGTCAATAATCGAATATGAAATCCATAAACGTGGCTTTTGGAATTCTTCGAGTGCTTTCCCGGAAGCATCGTCCGTGCTTCTTTCCGAAAGCGGGATGTGAGCAGAGGGTCGGTAGCGTGTGAGTTGAATACGAGACGGTCGGTAGCGTGTGAGTTGAATAAAAGACGGTCGGTAGCGTGTGAGGTGAATACGAGACGGTCGGTAGCATGTGGATATAGAAGCTCATAGTTTAAAGGGCTCTCACGTGTCAAATGTTTGCACATAGTTTGAAGACGTGGTGGTGCCAGCTCTCTTCAGGCTCCATGACGCTTGGATAACTCTCTTGACGAATCTGTCAGCCGTCGTATTGACTCCGTCAGTCGTCTGCGCATCCCATCAGCCGCTGTGAATGTTTTTTTCAGCCGACTTGACGGCTCTGTTAGCCACGATGACGACTCCGTCAGCCATCGTTATGAGACCGTCAGCTGTCTTGACCACTCTGCCAGCCATCGTGATGACTCCGTCAGCCGTCTTGACGACTCTTACCACTCTTCTTGATACATGACTCGAATAGAAAAAACGACGGGAAGACCGCTACGGAGAGCTAGGGTTGCGGGCTGCTATAGCGTAGATGCAAGGTGCTGATTTCTTTCGTTTCGTGGAAGAAGAGAAAGCCAGATTCCGGCTCCACTGCTGGAACCTTCCAAAAGGAACAACAGTGCAGATTCAACATTGAATCAGGTCACATCTCAACATCCGAGGAGTTTTTTGCCTTATATACGCACTTTTCACATTGCAAATAGTCACGCACACATTTTTCTTTCTATCTTCCCTCCACTTTTTGTTTTTTTTCCACCTCCAGTCTGAACCCCTTTCTCTCCCTTTCCTCTCAGCGATCCTCTTTTTCCCAAGCGTGGCTTTCGCCTCACGACGCCACATTCTGGACCTCACCTCACCCACCCTCCACTTCCCTCATACCACACACGTACATCCCAACCACTCTCAACTCATGGTTATGGCAGGCGTGTCTCTCGCGGCGCTGGGCAGCAGTCTGTTCCCCACCAGCTCGCTCGTGTGGTCGCCGCCTCTGCTGTGCCTTTTTGAGTCGACTCAAACTTCCCCTCCTCCCCCCCCCCTCCCCCCCCCTTTCTTCCTTGGCCATGGCAGGCGTGTCTCTCGCAGCGCTGGGCAGCAGTTTGGACCCCACCAGGCTCGTGTGGTCGTCGCCGCTGCTGTGCTCTGGGTGGACCGTGGACCACTCTTGCAACCCATCACCCTCATTTCTCAACGTTCCACTTCCCTTCGCGCCCCATACCTCCTTCCCAACCATGGCTGGCCGGTGTTTCTCTCGTGGTGCTAGGGAGCAGCCTGGACCCCAGCAGTGCACTCGTGTGGTCGTCGCCGCTGCCGTCCTTTTTCTAATCGACTCAAACTTCCCCCCCTCCTCCCCCCTCCCTGGCCATGGCAGGCGTGTCTCTGGCGCTGCTGGGGAGCAGTCTGGACCCCAGCAGCGCGCTCGTGTGGTCGTCGCCTCTGCTGTGCTCTGGGTGGACCAACTTCACGTGTAAAGACAACACCACCATCACAGCAATGTGCGTGTAAAGGCAACACCACCATCACAGCAATGTGCGTGTAAAGACAACACCACCATCACAGCAATGTGCGTGTAAAGACAACACCACCATCACAGCAATGTGCGTGTAAAGACAACACCACCATCACAGCAATGTGCGTGTAAAGACAACACCACCATCACAGCTAAGTGCGTGTAAAGGCAACGCGAAATTCGTGTGCTGCAATAGCCACACCAGAATCAAAGTTTGCGCGAAAGGAACACCACCATTTTCAACAAACGATCGTGTACGATAAATCAAAAGTACTTAGGCATTGATAAACATAAACTCAACGAGTTGAAGCAATGGGCGTTGCGTTGCCATCATTTAGTCCATCTAAATCGAACTTCTATCAGCCTTCCAGTCCTTGTTGCCCCGCGTCTTCTCTATGGCCAGACGGTGAAGCAAACTGAAAAAGGGGGGAAGAGAGTTGGGGGATCCATTGTGCTGATCGTGCATTGTCTCCCTGCCTCCTCCCACCTGCCTGCCTTCCTCCTCTCTCTGCCTTTTCTCTCTGCCCGTCTTCCCCCTCTGCCCGCATTCCGCTTGCCGTGTACCTGCGCTGTGCGGTGCAGCAATCTGGTGAAGATGCCACTCTCTGGCTCCCTGCCGCCCGACATCTCCAGATTCAAAAGCCTTGAATTCCTGTCAGTCGCAATCTGCCTGTACTACGGTTTGAAAATTAACCTACTTTCTTCCTCACCTAAAACCACTGTTATTCATTTTACTGCACGCACCACTGTTCCTCTCGCCTTCTCTCACTCTTTTCCTCTCACCTGCACTCACCCCCCCCCTCCCTCTCACCTGCACTCACCCCCTTGCCTCTCACCTGCACTCACCCCTTTTTCTCTAATCTGCGCTCACCCCATTTCCTCTCACCTGCACTCACCACCACCCACTTTCCTCTCACCTGCACTCCCTCCTTTTCCTCTCTCCTGCACTCACCCCCTGTCCTCTTATGTAACAACTTCTTTGTGCTGGTTTTCTGCATGTGCTTCTCCCCTGGCAGGGTGATTCGGAGTTCCAGCATCTCAGGTCCGTTGCCTGATGCAATCACTACTCTGAGAAACCTCAAGTACCTGTGAGTGTAACATCCTAAAAACATACACATTGTGTAACAATTTAAGAAAACATGCCCTCTCATTTTTATTCCTTCGACCCAAATATACTTTTTTTTTCTCTGTACACAGTATGTGTTTACCCTCTTTGTTGCATTCATTGGAATGTATCACCCATGCCATCACAACACTTGCAGAGATTTGAGCTACAATCAAATATGGCCGCCTGTGCCAGCAGGCCTCTTCTCAATGCCAGAGTTGAAGGGCATGTAAGAACACTGTAGACTCTACTGCTGTGTCCTGTAAGAACCCTGTAGACTCGTAGACGAGCACTGCTTCGAAATCGTTTGGTTAACTTCGTGGTTTTCTTTTTGAGATGCTGCAAGAACAAGGTCCAACAGCAGGCATGTGGTGGGTTCCACTCCACCCCCTCAAGTCTGCAGATTTAAATGCCTTGCCGTACACCGAAGACACCGTTTCTTCCAGTTTCTCCCCCTCTGAACCCGTTCGCCTGTTGCGTTCACTCCTCTTCCGGCCCCTTGTTTGCTTGCGTCTCACGCCTCTACTGGCCGCTTGTGTCTCACGCCTGTACCGGTCGCATCATGGTGCTTCTTGCCCCTTGCCGCCTGCTCTGCCACACCCCCCTCCCTGAATCACTTGCTGCCTGCAGGCTTCTGGGCAACAACTGGCTGACCAACCAGCCGGTGCCCCACATGGCCAAGGTCACCCGACACCCGCCTCCCTGGGCATGCTGTCGAGAGATTTAGAAGAATCTCAAAGAGATATCAAGCATTTCCCACCCCTGCCTGCACGCTTCTGGGCAACAACTGGCTGACCAACCAGCCGGTGCCCCACATGGCCAAGGCGCCCACCCCCGTCTACCCAGCTGTTGCCTCTCATCCCTCTCCCCTCCCCAACCCCCCTGGTAACTCTCATGCCTTTGTGACCCCCCCTGCGTGCCTGCAGGCTGCTAGGCAACAACTGGTTGACCAATCAGACGGTGCCCAACATGGCCAAGGCGCCCGCCTCTTTGAACATGGTGTCGCTGCGCACCGTGGGGGCGACTGTGGACAACACTTCCAAAGCCGGCAAGGCTACTCTTGAGTAAGTGCATGCGTCGAAATGGGGCATGCCTTGGAAGTTGGAATGGGGCATGCCTTGGAAGTTGGAATGGGGCATGCCTTGGAAGTTGGAATGGGGCATGCCTTGGAAGTTGGAATGGGGCATGCCTTGGAAGTTGGAATGGGGCATGCGTTTGAGATGGGACATGCACACAGCCGTCCTCTAACACTGTATACTCCTTTTCTTTAAGCATGAATAAATGTGCAAGTGTCCGAGCCAAACTGCCTTGCCCCGAGCTGTGGCGATCCAGCCAGTGGACGAGCCAAGCCAGCAGCTAACCCGGCTCGTGGCCCTTCTCTCCCCCCCCTCCCTCCCTCCTCCCCCCCGTCTCATCCTTCCCTTTCGCAACCCCCCCACCAGCCGGTACGGCAACACACAACCTCTTCTCCTAACTAACTAGCCCCCAACTTCCCCCTCTTCCCCCCTTTTTCCCCTCGTTTCTTCCTTCCCTTTCCCCCGCCACCAGCCAACCCACAAGTCTGTGACGTGGCCACAGGCCGCCCACTCAACCTCTTTCCCTCTCCCCCACTTCCTCCTCCTCCCCCTCTTCTCCTCCTTTCAACCCCGTTTCTTCCTCCCTTTCCCCCCACCCTGTATGGCAACCCACAAATCTGTGGCATCTCCGCAGGCAGGCCCACCCCTCAACCTCTCGTCCACCAGCGGCCAGCTAAACACCTCCCAGTTCCACGACTCCTGCAGATAGGCTCGCACATCTTTCTGCCTCAACGCCTCCCTCTCCCTTCCCCTCCCCACTTCTCCCTCCCCTCCCCACCCCCACCAGCCTGTACAACAACCCACAGATCAGCGACGTGGCCACAGATAGGGCGGCCACTAAACCGCCTTCATAGCTATCTATCCACCCCCCCTCCTCCCCTCTCTCTCCCCCTCTTCTCCCCCTTCTCCCCCCACAACAGCCTGTTCGGCAACCCACAGTCGGCCACAGGCCGCCTGCTCAACCTCTCTTTCCCTCTCCCCACCCTCCTCCCCCTCTTCTCCCCCTCTCCACCTGTGTCTTCCTTTCCCGCCCCCAACCCCCACCAGGCTTTACGGCAACCCACAGATTTGTAACGTAGCCACGGGCAGCCCGCTCAACCTGTCATCCACCAGCGGCCAGTTCAACGACTCGTGCAAGTGGACCCACGCGCCCTTCTGCCTCAACCAGCGCTGCCTCCCCACGCAGTACATCGACCGCCCGACCTTCCTCAACGCCTACCCCCCCTCCAACTGCATCTACGGGCAAGGCCCCATGACCGCCCCGCTCTTCCCTTCCGACCCAACTGCCGCAGCAGCAGCTGCTGCCTCTGCCACTGCTGAGTCTTTCACCCAAGCGTCTTCTCCCAGCTCGCCACTCCCTCCTGGCAGCGCCGGTCCACCCGATGCGGCTCCTGATGCTCTTGGTGGTGATCGTGCTGGCGGCCGTGGCGGTGGTGGTGGGCCAGCAGCGGCGCCTGCGGGTGATGTAGCGGTGCCGACGGGGCCGGGGGCGTGTGTGTGTGCGGGGAGCAATCAGTTCTACGAGTTTGACCTGCTGTGCGCCAACAGCAAGATCCAGGCGTGGACGGATGAGTACTCGCAGCTCGTCTCTCAGAAGGTGTCTGAAGCGTTCGCCTATAAGCTGAAGAGATGCATCAATCCGGAGCAGGTGAGAGAGTGGGAGCAGGTGAGAGAGTGGGAGCAGGTGAGAGGGTTGAGTTGAGAAATGGGGCACCATATGAGGCGTGGGAGTGGAGCGACGAGTACTCGCAGCTTGTCTCTCAGAAGGTGTCTGCAGGGTTCGCCATGAAGGAAGGTGTTTGCCATGAAGTGCATTAATCCGGAGCAGGTGAGCAGGTGAGAGGGGTTGGGGAGTGGGGCACAATATGAGGCGTGGAGCGGAGCGATGAGTACTCGCAGGTCGTCTCTGAGAACGTGTCTTTTCGCCTATAAGCTCAAGAAGTGCATTAATCTGGAGCAGGTGAGAGGGAGGGAGGGGGAGGGAGGGGGTTTGAGGCGCATTTCCTTAAGTGCTTCCTCAAACACGCACTCACTTTCTCAATCACTCGTTCCTTTGCCATCCCCAACGCTGTTGGCTGCTGCACAGGTGTGGGTGTGGCACGCGTACGTGAGTGGGTGCTGCCTGGACAGCAGCGGCGCACCGCTGTTTGACATGCGGCTGTACGTGGTGCTATTGGTCTCATGCTTTGCTCCCCATTCATTGCATCCCTCTGTGTTTCCACCCCAATGCCCTGTTTGCTCCTGCACAGGTGTGGTTGTGGCACGCGTATGTGAGCGACTGGCGGCTGGACAGCAGTGGCGCACCTCTGTTTGACATGCGGCTGTACGTGGTGCTGTTTGAGAACCTCACGAGGGACGAGGAGATCACGGTGCAGTACGTCATCGTGCAAAACCCCGGCCTTCTGAAAAACTCCACGTTCGGAGAGCTCAAGCTGCTGGGTGAGTGGGCGGGGGCAGGGGGCGGAGAAGGTGACAGGGGAGGGAGAGGGAGAGGGGACGTTGGGGTCTGACCTGACTTGGCCTGGTTCAGCCTGTCATCGTGCAGAACCAGGACCTTTTGAAAGGCTCCACGTTCGGAGTGCTCAAGCGGCTGTGTGGGTTGCAAGTGGGGGGAGGGTAGAGGAAGTTGGTGTTTGAC